GGACCAAGAGATTATAATCATATAATCCTCAGGAATCAAGAGATTATGGTCCAGAGGGACCGAAATAGGCAAATGCCATTTGTCAATATTAGACTTGGTTTGACAAGCTAGGCTAGTTAAGTTGGAAAACCTCTAAATACCTGGGTATAGAAGAAAATTGAGGGTTTATGGGTTATCCCTTGATGATGTTGAAATTGGCCAAGGGAGTGATCCAAGGGACTATGTGACCCTTGTGTGTGATGGTTGGCCTCTAGAGATGATAGCCAAAGCCTCATCACTAAACTATCACACGACATGTGAATATGATAGTCGTATCAGGAAAGCAAGACATCATTGATGGTGCAGCGTGTATATATGCGAGAGATTGCCCCTATACACTATAGAACTGTGGTTGCATTTGGTCTTAGTAACCATGGGTTCATCTCTAGGGGAAAATTTGTAATCCATATACTGTGATTATATTCATATACCTATTAAGTGACTTTGGTAACTCAATCATGAACCCTTGCAGTGATATGTGGGTCATGGAAATTGTTTGGTCAGTTTGAAGAAGTAAGTGTGGATTACAGTCCACAATAGAATATTGAGTACTTCAGAAATATTAATTTTTAAATCTAAAAGGATCCTATTCCCATAAAATTTATTTGATGTTAATTGATTTTTAGAATGATTATTTAAATTTTTGTGGGTCTCTGGATATTTTATTTTGTAAAATAAATTTATAAAATAAGAAACATTCTATGAGAGCACGCCCCCATAAAAGACTATAGAGGTGAGCACACCCCACTCATAAAATTGCCTTAGGCATTGAGTCCTTGACTCGATCAAATAGTTATTGCTATCATATTTTTGTGAAGGGGTTTAGCAAGGGCCTTCACATATTTGGAAGATCCGAGATTGACCATCGATCCTGTGCGCCATTGGAGGAGGAGACTAAGTGTGAGGTGTACTAAGTCTAGTTGAGGTATTCTTCCAGCATCCTGCTTTATGGTTTGCAGTATTTTATTTCTTATTCACATAAAGCGTTATATTAGTTTTATTTAATAAAAGAAAGTCGTAAATAGAGGCAGCAAGTGAGAAGTAATTTATTTATTTATTCTTTTTCTTTTGAGTTGAGTTTATCGTAACTTGATCATTGTAAGTATCCTAGTTTGTGAGAAAAAATATTAAAAATTATATACACCGTGCTAGATAACCTTCGTCCAACTCTTTTTGTGCTCAGACAAATAAATGAGGTGGGATTGCGGTGGTAGTACCCCACAACCAAATCATCACATTTTGATTTTATTGCCACTTACACCCTCATAACGTTAATCATGAAATTTCATTCCCACTCACACTCTCATAACCTTAATTAAAGTCATCCGAATTGTGGTTTTCGTTCCCACTTACACCAGCATACCCTTAATCATGAAATTTGGGAAAGGGGCTGGGGTTGTGGTGGTAGCACACCCCATAATTTAGTCGCACATTGTGCTCTCCAATGACAGCTTCGAAAACCTAACCATTTAAAAAATGGGTAGGGACCTGAATTCCCAACTGAATTACCCAAAAGAAAAAACTACTAAATTGAACAAATCTCCATTGATATGGACTATAGTATGAGACATATGGACTTAGTAGAATGCGTTTCATTACGAGAATGAGCACCACAAATCCTCAACTAATCCGAAATCCTTTCCAACTAATCTCTCTCTCTAGGGCAATCCCAACAAAAAAAGAAAGGAAAAAAGGAGATAAAATACGAGAAACCAATAACAATAACAATATAATTGAGGTGGTGGAAGTGAGCATATATGGCCATGAGCAGCGTTACGTTGAGGGCTTGAATAACACATCTTAGAGAGAGAGAGTGAGAGAGACCACAAAAAGTTAATTAACTTCACTCCTTATTAATCAATCACATAATACATGAAAAACGGCCACCCCTTGTTGTTAATTATCATTAACAACAAAAGTCAAGTAGTAAATTATAAAATATGGTGATGATGGTCATCGAGATGACGATTATAATGAGGGTAAAACTAATGAAAAAAGCTAACAGCTCTCACTCTCTCATAAAATACTAACATCTCTCTCTCTCTATCTCTCTCTCCCTCTAGAAAGACATAATCATGCTATTTATTAATAGTATTAGCGGTAGAAAGAAAAATAGAAAAGCTCTCTCTCTCTCTCTCGCTTTGACTAGTGCTAAGCTCCAAGATTCTCACACCTCTTCCTACCATATCCTTCAAAGGCATCTAGGTTAGAAGCCATGGCTTCTCCAAATCTCTCCTTCCCATAATCAAATGGAGTTAGTAAGATCTAACCTAAGAGATCCTAAGCCTATGGCTGTGATCTCCTCTGATTCCACTACATGATTTTCCCACATGGCAAGCTCCAATAGGGCCCCCATCTCCTAAGGAGATTGCAACTTTTCATATTCGATCTCTTGTGCTCATTCATTTGCCATTTTCTGTAGGCCTCACCTCGAGTATCATGTGGATCACTAATCAAATGCTTGGGGACCAATAAATTTGGTTGTTTTATGCAGTTTCTATGAGGCCTAGGCTTTACAAAAGCAAACTAAAGCTTCATCTATAATTTTTGTCAAAAAAGTACCTTCGGCATCGAAAATCGTTACGATAGCTCTAAAATCAATTTCCAACACTAACTATGAAATTTGAAGCTAAAAAATTGTATAGATCTTGCAGATCTGTAATCACTCATTTTTAGGACAAAATGGGTGGTCTAGATAGTGTGTCATAATAAATACTATTTTTAGGGCTTGAAATACTTTTTTCTTTTTCACAATTAAAATGGTCTAGGTGGAAACAATTGATTCGAAGGTTTTTCGATGCTAGAACTACCTTCTTCAATGAGTATTTAGGTTTTTTGATTCTAGAACTACCCTATCAAAAAATTTTCCTTTTTTTTCCAATTTAGTTTTTGTCGGCATGAAGTATTACTAGTTGAATTGTGAACCGTCGATGCACAATCTTAGTCTTTATTCTATAGAATAGTACTTATTGTCAATTCAAAAACAATTTAACAAAGGTACCAATAATTTATTCCATGCATGCATGGATTATTTAATGAAATTTGCGAAAAATAAATCAACAACTGAATATAAATACCCATCTTGCTAATGGTTCGTCTTATTCTTGGACCCCTTCACATGGGTCCTCAACAACTTGAACCAAAAATTCACCAAAGCCTTTATTCTACATTCAATCTTCTATTATTTACTTGTTTTTTGTTTTTCTTTCTTATGGTGAGTCAAGTGGAACCTTTCCTAGAAGAGAAACTATAGGATGAGCACAACATAAATAAGGACAGTTAAATAAAAAGTCCACATCAGTTTAGAAAATGACATTGGAATCCTTAATAATTTTGGAATGAGACGAGAAATAGTCAGCTTTCCCAAAGAAAGCAAATATCATTGCGTGAATAGTCTTCTTGTTACTTCCCCATGAATAAGGAATGAACCATCATATTTCAATTTTGACCTAAACATCCTACCCTATGATTGTAATTATTAAAAAAGCCCCACATCTTCTTGTGTACATCAAAATAATGTGACTGAATTAATTATATGAGAAAGTCTATAACGCTTTCATTTTCCACCATTTATATAAAAACCACTAACATTAGAGGACATAAACAAAGGATACCTATCTCCAATGTTTAAAAACACGGTTGGGTGACCCAGATCGCCAATCCCAAAAACTAATATGGACTAGCGGATCGGCGATCTGGCTAAGAAAAACGTGCAAAAACAACAGTTGAGAAAAAAACAAAAATTAAAGAAACTACTAAAAAATAAAGGTGGGCCGGCTCAACTGGATCTCTAACTGAACTGCCTTGTTTTGTCAAAGAATGATCGTTTCCTAAAAAGAACCAACTAGTTTCTGATGGGAAACGGACCAGCCCCACGTATTCCAGATTCGAATTAGGCGATTCCTATCCATATTACCAATTTTTAAACCCTTACCTATCACAAAGTAATAAGTGTGATCTCATCATTTCAAAATTGTGAGGATAGTTTCCAAATTTGGATGGGACCATTGTCATACTTTGTCATTTGTGGAGTTCTCATGGGTAGTATGGCTGCATGTACAAAATATCTCAAGGCAACCATCCCAGGCAGAAGTTTCTTTTTTTCATTTACTCATGCCAAGGAAAAAATGGACTTTACCTGTAGGGTCTAGGGTTTGAAGCACTCACACCTTCAACACAATAGGCCTTCTCTTTTGACTTTACCACTTTATGGGAAGCAAAGCACTTAGAGTTTGAGCTTGGAATTATTGTCCACCACTTGAGGTCCTTCTCTCAGCAAATTAATATTCTATATCAAAATCACTTATCTTGATATGGTATTCAAAATCACTTCAAGAACTTGATTATTCATAGATTTGATCAGTCATAGGTTCAGAAGTGGGGACCTTAGAAAATAAGAGAACATTTATAGTATAAAAATGAATGAGAGCAACACATGATTGGTGCAATCAAAGTAAAACACATACAAGAGAAACAAACCCTAAAAATACCCTTGTCCCCACATAGTAACAGTGATAATTTATATAATTTATTATATACTGAAAGGCCCAAGTCCCCTGATATTAACTATGATAATTTATAATATTAACTGATCTCATCAACCACCAAATTTTGTATGTGTTTTTTAATGCAAGGGAGCTGTCCAGGCAAAGATTGGGTACAGCTGTCTAGAGTAAGACACTCTTGGTGAGGAGAGAGTCTTCACAATTTACACTAGAGAACCAATCATTGGTTCTGTTGGGGAAAGAGGGTGGGAAAATTTATATCTTCCTTGGTCTAAAGATATGGGGGAATCAGTAGCACTATATATATGTGGCTTCTCCCAAGGGAGTTCTCCAACAAAGATCAGTTTCTCACTCTATTTTCTCTTTCCTCCTTTTCTTGAGTGTGTCTCACTCTATATTCATTCAACAAATTGTCGAAAAGGAGAAGGGATTTTCTCTCAGTTTCATCAGACGAATATGGGTCAAGAAATGAAGATGGATTTGTGGCCTGTTAGAGAGAGAAAAGATCAGTCTTCACCATCTAAAACCAGTGGAGGTGCAGTGAGGCTATCTAAAATGGCCCTGGCTGAGACCCATGGTGAGGATTCACCTTACTTTGCAGGGTGGAAAGCTTATGATGAGGACCCTTATGACCCTGTGATGAACCCTTCAGGTGTGATACAGATGGGATTGGCAGAGAATCAAGTAAGTTTCCAAGCTTGCAAATGAATATTTTTACCAAGTTGGTCAGGGAATTCAGTTCCCTCTTGCTAGCTGGCACACTGTGTTGCAACAAGATGTTTTCTGTTGTTTTGTTTTCTTTTCATTGATTATTCGTAGTTTTTTTTTTGTGTTGAGCAGGTTTCGTTTGATTTATTGGAGGAATGGTTGGCACAACATCCTGAGGCATCGAATTGGGGTAACGGGTTCTCAAACTTTCGGGAAAATGCATTGTTTCAAGACTACCATGGATTAAAGGCTTTCAGAAAGGTATTTCTCTTGGAAGAGTTCTAAGAACATGATCTTGTTTGAGGAGTTTGATCTTGTCATATTAAGAATAGCGCACATCTGAGGGAACAAAGCAAGTTTGTAGCTACTTTAAATCTCAAAGAGCCTCAAATGGAATATAATCTGGTTGATTGAATTGTTGGATTGATTTATTGTGATCCAATTTGCACAGGCAATGACAAGTTTCATGGAAGAAGTAAGAGGTGGTGCAGTCAAGTTTGATGCAGACAGGCTTGTCCTCACAGCTGGTGCAACTGCAGCAAATGAACTTTTAACCTTCTGTTTGGTTGACTCTGGAGAAGCTCTACTTGTTCCAACTCCATACTATCCAGGGTGAGTTGAATCAACAATCTCTCTCTATCGCTCTCTCTCTCTCTCTCTCTCTCTCTCTCTCTCTCTCTCTCTCTCTAACACTAAATATGGTCTTCATGAAGTAAACTAGAGTCTAACTAGGCCTTTTTCTCTCTTGCAGATTCGACCGAGACTTAAGGTGGAGAACTGGTGTAAAGATTATACCAATCCACTGTAACAGCTCGAACAACTTTCAGATCACAAGACAAGCTCTAGAAGACGCATACGAAGAAGCGAGGAGAGAGAAAATCACTGTGAGAGGAGTATTAATCACAAACCCTTCAAACCCTCTTGGCGCTACGATCCGACGCTCAGTCCTCGAAGACCTTCTTGACTTTGTCACTGAGAAAGACATCCATTTAATCTCCGACGAAATCTACTCAGGTTCAGTCTTCTCTCCCCCCGAATTCGTAAGCATGGCCGAGATCTTCGCTTCAAAGAACTACAGAAATGCAGAGAGAATTCACATAGTTTACAGCCTCTCAAAGGATTTGGGTCTTCCTGGTTTTAGGATTGGAGCCATTTACTCTTACAATGATAGGGTGGTAACCCCTGCAAGGAGAATGTCAAGCTTCAGTTTGGTTTCTTCACAAACCCAACATTTACTGGCCTTAATGCTATCTGATACCAAGTTTAGTAGGAGATACATTGAAACAAATAGAGAGAGATTGAAGACTAGGTATGAGTTCATTGTCCAAGGTTTGAGAAAAGCTGGTATTAAGTGCTTAAAAGGGAATGCGGGGCTCTTTTGCTGGATGAATTTGAGCTCTTATTGAAGAACCCAACAAGAGAGGGAGAGTTAGAGCTTTGGAATTTGATGCTCCATGAAGTGAAGCTCAATATTTCACCTGGTTCTTCATGCCACTGTTCTGAGCCAGGATGGTTTAGGGTTTGCTTTGCAAATATGACATTGGAGACATTGCAAGTGGCCCTTAGAAGAATACATGATTTCATGGACAGACATAGACAGAGAGAATCAGAAACCCTAGAAAGATTACTGTAGCACACCCCACTATTACCCCACTATTGTTTTTATTTGTTTTTGCTTGAACTTCTTTTTCCCCCACTTGAAGGATGAAAGAGTGGTGACTCCGTTTTGTAAAGAACTTCTTTTGGGGGAATTATTAACTGCGTAGTGTAATGTGTACGATACCAATCCCCATGCAATACAAATCAGAACTTATTCTTTTTAACCTTTGGTGTCACCTTTTCTTTTTATTTTGGAAAATGGTTGTAGAGGACTGTAGCACTATCTAAATAAATAAAGCCACACATTATAACTCATCAAAAACAGCAATTTAAGTATTAGAAAACCTTTACATCGATCTCCTTGACTTGAATACTATTTAAGCATTAGAAAACCTTTACATTGTTCGTCTTGATTTGAATATTATGGTTATGAAACAAAAATAGGATTTCAAACTCTAAAAATAATGTTATTGTAATAAAGTATCTAGACCATCCATTTCATCCTAAATTCATTGATCCGCAAGATCTGTACTATTTTTTTAGTTTTGAATATCATTATATATTAAAAATTAATTTTAGAGCCATCACGTGCATTTTTATTGTCGACACGATTTAAGTTGAGGCTTTATTTTTGTTTTCATAAAGCCTAAGCCTTATTGAAACCCCATCTTTTTGTTTGTCAAAAGGCTTCATACTCCAAGGGGCCATATTGTCCATTTACTCCCTCAGGCAAATCCCAATCAAGGAGAATTTTTAGGAATCCGAATTTTAGAGATGTAACCTCTTCAATCTACTATACCATACTCAATTAAAAAAACAAATTTCTAAATTGCATTCTTGGGAGCTTGGAGAAAAATTCCTCAAGGTAGAATAGAAACCGTTCAATTTTTGAAGGGTGAGAACTAATTGTGTTAGAAATATCAAATTCAAAATTTTCTTTTAAATACAATCATCTATTCATTTTTACGCGGTTCCCAAAATTTTGGAGCAAAACAATCTTCGCATGTTGTCCAAGGTAACACGTGTATAGTATTCTCCCCCAGGAACATAGTTAGTTCACCTATTCTTTGATCAATTAAATCAGTTTCGTGTAAGTGCTTTGACAGCTGTAGGAATGCGTCTCCAAAGTAGTGAAGATGGCCATTTCCCAATGGACAACAGAGGGTAGAAACACGGTTTCCACGCACATACGTGTGTCTATACACACGAGCGCACACACACATAAGAGAGAATTTAGAACACTACATCTCAAATTTGAATCCTAGAACTATAATAGAACTAGGTGTAACCAAGCACAAAAAATAAAAAATAAAAAATAATTCCTATGATACTAATTATTCGACCTTGTACCTAAAGAAAATATTTTCATAGGTTACAGTCCTAAGAAAAAAAAGGAAAGCCTCACTGCAAAACTCACCGAAAATTGTAGTTTTGGCATTGAAAAACCTCCAAATCGATTGTCTCGGCTTTGACCATAAGATTTCAAGCCTTAAAAATATTGTATATTATAGCACATTATCTAAACTATTTATTTCTCCCTAAAAATCAGTGTTCATGGATCTGTAAGATCTGTACCATTTTTTGAACTTCAAATTTTATAGTCGGTATTGAATATTGATTTTAGAGTCGTCAAGGAGATTTTGATGCCCAAAGTGTTTCCTGTACGAGTATTTGAAGTAAGGCTTCACTTTGTTTACATATAGCCTAGGCCTTATAGAAACTACATCCTTTATCTATATATTTGGATTTAATTATGGGTGTGGTTTCTATAAGGTTATGACCTTAAACAATCGAATTAAGGCGCACCTCCAAATTTTATCATAATATGTATTGTTGGTGTAAAAAAGTATTAAGATTATCTTAAAATATATTTTCATATCTAACTATAAAATTTTAAAATTAAAAATTGTTAAAATCAAGTAGATTTGTAAACATATGAAAATCTTGAAAATGGACAGTCTAGATAATGTGTTGCAAGAAGCATTATTTTTGGAACTCCAAATCATTGGTTTCTTTTCAAATTCAAACATCGTGACGTAGAGATGATCAATTAGAGAGCTTTTCAACATTAAAACACCATTTTCCGATGGATTTTTGAGGCGCATGTGTATTTCTACATATTAAGGTTGGAACCTCGTAAAAACCTTTTCCTTCAATTATAGATCTTCAAACATAATTTTAAGTAAGGGTAGTACAAAAGGAATAAGGTTTACACAAGGTTGCCTCCTTATACCATAGAAATAATGTGAGCTTTTAAATTTTGCTTGTAAATGTAGTTTCAGTGTCAAAAACTTTATTATGGCTTGAAAATTTGCATCCAACCCTCAGTATAAAATTGAAATTTTCAAACATAATACCAAGTAGATTTATAAACACTTGAAAATTTTGAAAAAAAAAAATAGATGGTTCAAATAACTTGTTATAAGATATACTCTTTTTTTTATTTGAAAATTTCTCTTTCTTTAGGGAAAGGTTTCCTTGCTTCCCCTACAACATATAACTTCTATGTTTCCCCTACCATCCAGCCGTCTTATTTCGATCAAGAGAGCCACTCACCATTTTATCTTAGATCCGATGTCTCAAAGTATTTTATTTTTAGTTTTTTTTATAAAAAATTTTATGAATATGAAAGTTGGTACATGTCATATTCTCATTGGGTCGCATCTATAAAAAGTATTAAAACTAATTTTTTGATAAAATATAATGACCAAATACCCCTTGAAACTTTTAGGTGTATTTTGGTCATTTTATTTTATTGAAATATTGTTTTTATATTTTCGCTAGCACGAATTTAATAGAGGATTGGACGTACAAAATTTGGTGTCAAAATAGTTTATAGAAAAAAATTTAAAATAAAATAGTGTAGAAAAGGAAAATCTTAGCCCTCCATTCAGATTGGATGGTTGGATACGGAGAAGTATATAAGTTTTATGTTGCAAGGGAAGCATAGAAAGCTTGTCATTTTCTTTATATCCATACATCTTAAAGTCCAAATAATTCTTTTTCAACTTCAAAAAAAAAAAAATTAGTAGATTTTTAACGTTAGCCTTTTTACTTGCAACCTTATATAAACCTTTCCCTTTTGAGAAACTTCTTTTAAAAAATTATGGTTGCAGCCTTATATAAACATTTCCCTGAGAAATTTCTTGAAATATCAAAAACCTAAACAGAAAAACAAAATGAAGTAAGTGAATTTCTTTGCAATTTCCTGAATCCAGCAATGATGATGCTTGAAAAACAAAAAAACAAAAATGAAGAACTGACTTTCTTTGTGATTTCCTGAATCTAGCAATTATGATGGTTGAAAAATAGATGATTCTGTTGGAATATTGTTGATAACATGTCGAAGAGGTGACAGACAATTGGCAAAGAAAAACCAAATGGTTTGGTGCATGGAAAACGATTGGGAATTGGCATTTGTCACGAAACCACATATTTCAATATTAATGAAATATTTAGAAAGTTGAAGTGTTCAATTTCATTTTGTTTACTAAATGTAGAAGGACAAATGTCACACTTTGGTGAACTGAACGTTGGGGGGATTTGAAGGAGCAACATGTGTCATTCTTGGAGGGGTGCTCATTTTAGTGACAACCAGTAGAGAGAGAAAGAGAGCATTTTCGGTAGAGAGAGAGTGAATTTTTTAGGGAGAGAGATTTTTTAAGGGGTGCTCACTTTAGTGACAACCAGTAGAGAGAGAGACATTTTTTGAGAGGCGCTCACTTTAATAACAACCAGTAGAGAGAGAAAGCATTTTTGGTCGAGAGAGACTGCATTTTTGGGGAAGAGAGAGAGAGAGGAGAGATTGTAATTTTGAGGTAGTTTGGGATCGCAAGCTACATGTGAACCTTTTGAAATGAGTTTTTCACCTTTTCTCTATGTGAAGGCGGCAAGAAACGGCTTCTGGTTTTTCTTTTGCTTGATTGATGGCAGTAATAACACGTGGTTCCTAGCTTCAAGAAGGAAATCCTTTGTGTAGAGAGAGAGAGAGAGAGAGAGCAGTGAAGTCGTTCTATTCAAAGGGAAAGAACAGGTGCAAATGAGAGAAAAAGATAAGCACAAACTGAAGTCTTCCCCATGTTACTAATTCAACACATCCGAAGATGGAATGAACAGAATAAATTTGTGTCTGAATTCATTTATAAGAAATTTCACTTCTCAAGCCCTTTTAACTCGATCGCCGCCTCTGAAGCTAGTTTTCTTGATAAAACATGAAACCCCAACTCAAAAAGGGAAAGTACAGCACATAGTAGACTGTACTAAACTTTGAAGTTTCCATGCACTGTGATTAGTGCTTACGCTCAATAGAATTGTATCGTATATCTCCACGGTTGGTTTCAGAATGAATGGTGATGACGAGCCATTTCTCCTGCCCAATGTCCACATTGTTTAGTAGATGTTGATCTCCATTTTTAGTTGTTAATATGGACAAGGGATGACCCTTTCTATGCTCACCACACTAATGTAATCAGATTACTACATACATACAATTAAGCCGGTTAGGGTTTCGTCCAGTCAAAATTATCCGATTACTAATCAAATTGATTGGATTAAATTTTTAAAAATAAAAAATAAAAAGAAATTTAAAATATAAAATATATTGCCAAAAAAATTCAACTTTATTTAATCGATCCAACTAATCTCACTAATTTTGTTAAAACTAATCCAATATTGATTTTAAGTAGTTGTCGACCAAATCATGTTTTTATTTTGGACCAAACTAACCAAGTCAAATGATTAATCGATAAGTTCAATGATTAATCGATAAGTTCGATCTTGATACCAAACATACGGTCACCCCTCATTTTAGTTTGATAAATCACTTTTCATTTTTTTCTAAATTTGATATGCATTTTAATCGTCTTCGATAGGAGCAAACAAAGGTCAATGATGCCTTCAGCTTTCCTTTTTTTTCTCTCAAGAATTTATTAGGATCAAACGAGGAAGTAAAACTTCCTCAAACTTCCATGTGAGAAGAGAGAGAAAGTTAGAGAGAGGGAGAGAGTTAGAGAGAGAAAGTTAGAGATATGGAGGGTGATGCGGC